ATTTTTTTTCCAGCAAAAATACTAAGTGAGGGGATTTGTCGATGTCCACTACCAATATCACTGATATTGTCCCAACTTAATTATGTATTACTAGGTGTTGGGTTCTATCACAAAAGACCTTGGTTAATTATGGGTGGAAACAACCGTATATTAATTGGATATTATCTTGTCATATGACCATGTAGAATCCTATTCTCCAACACTTGCATGATACGAATGGACTGTCACTATCTGGGACATCATATGTAACAATATGTTACTATATCCTTTGGGTAATGTTAAGGAAATTAAATTTGTAGACAAAATTTTGTAAACTAAATGACATAGAAGTTGATGATTGGATTAATACTTAAGCATTGATAAACATGATCATTTCTATTGGTGATATATCATTTAGTTTGCAAATTTTGTCTACAAATTTAGTGTCCCTATACAAATTTAGTGTCCCTAGCATTACCCATATCATTTACATGGTTTTTCCATTGTAAATTTGTAAAATCCAGGTAGCTAGCAGTATATTATTGATCACTCTTAATCTATCTAACAGCCTAGCTAGCTAACACATTTCATGCACACAAATTTTGCACATGTTTAATGATTCCTGAGTACTATACTACGAACTACAAACTAACCAAAAACTATCAAATACAAGATAATATCAACATAGCTCATTTGGTGTTTAGAATCAAATTGGAATGAATACCTTCTAAATTAAAGGTATACTGATGATGCAAGAGAATGATTTTATTTGAGGGAATTAAAAAGGGATTAGATATGAAGGAAATTTCTCCCTTCTGATCCTAAAGGATTAGAATGGATAATTTTTCTTTTTAAGTAATCCATCTCATACCTCCACAGTTGACCACAATGTTTTTATTTCTTCCTTCAAAATACCTTGAAAATAGTTGTTTTTTCATTCCAATCAAATCCTCTATACCAAACGAGACTAAAGAACATAAAACTTCCAGCCAAACTATAATTGAAGCTTGTAGTTGACAGTTGCAACCGCACAAAGCTAGAGATCACTTTTAATACATATAAATGTTGGAGAACAATTCAGAAATAAATAAAAATAACATAACTCTAATTCAAGAATTCTAGCGAATGAAATACAGAAATAACTATTGTACAGAATGATGATTTTATTTCTTCAAAATACTTGCTGTACAGAATGAAATACAGAAATAAATACAAGAATATCAATGTACTAACTTGATTACAACAGGTAGAGGCTAACGCAAAAACTATGTCCTTCGAACAATATTTTTGTCCCACTCTTGTGCTCGTGGTTCTACAATGTCTGCTCGACAAGGATACAACTACCTAATTCTACAACCTGCACTGGATTATAGAATTCTAGCGAATTGCTTTGTGTGTTTACTCTCTGAGAATTGTGTACGGAAGAAAAAGAGGAAGAAAGGATGATATCCAATGGAACTGAGGACTCCAGTTATATAGGCTCTTTCATACATTTTCAAATACCTTTTGAATGTATCTGAAGCTAGAGTTGTATATATTAATCAAAGCGTTTTTAATTAAAAACTTAATTCGAAAATTAAAACTAATTGATCAGATTAATTTTAATTCTTAGGAGGCCCATGGCCCTTGTCTTGATTAATTAATATTAATATTATGGTATAATCATCAAGCCTAATCCACACAACTAGTGGCCCAATCCTCAATCCTCATTCCAAATGGTCCAACATTTAACTCATATTGTAGAAGACAAAACATATATAAAGGTAATTGGGAATCTTGTTTTCCCCAATGTGGGACAAGAGTCTCAAAACTCTAACAATAAGGTCCACTAATGGAGATGTAAGGAGGAGAAGTGATACAGAGTTTTTGAATTTGTCATTGAGAAATTCTGTTTTTTGCCAAACCGTGTTACCAAAAAAGAAGATAAAAATGTAAAAGAAAAAAGAAGATCAAGTCTTGTAGCTAGCTTAGCTTGTAATTAATCTAATCCCTAATTCCCTGATGATAGTTATTGAATAATATAAGTCAGCAACAAGGTAGCTTTCTTGGGGATCTAGTTTCACCAACGCTAACTTTTATATAGATATAGTAAGCATAGATAGACAGTACAATTAACATGCTTGCAGTCTCTGATCTTTATTCAAACAAAAAAGGAAAATTAAGACTCAAACTTCCGTTGAAACTAAAAATAAACAAAACCCTAACGTATGGATCTCATTTAACAACGTCTTAATCCTAAAAGTCACCATTTGCATGCGTTTACATGCATATTTAAGAAAGAACCATAGCTCATAACTAAGTTGAAATTCTCCAAACAAAATTGTATGATTGAAGAACCTGAGAGTTGATCATACAAGCTTTCGAAAATAAGCTTCCTAGCTACTCTCTTATGTACACTCACACACATCTGCATGAGGAGTAAAATTAACCTTCATAAGACATTTTATACCCTAAATTAAATATAGAACCTTGTTGCGAAAATAGAGTAAAACTAGGAAAATAATCATGAAAACTTGCTGCCACAATAACGCTCATCAATTGTGCAAATAACAATACACTATTAGAATATTAACTTCCAACTTAAAACTAATTGACAATAAGAGAGCGAGTTCAACCCAATTATCATCTCCCTAATGTGGTGGACTAAACCTTAATTTGGCATTCTTGATCACTAGCCTAATTATCATCTCTTACATAGCAAATATCTATATCATACATAAGTCTCTTCCTTATGGTCTGCCTTCAATTACATGCTAAACCTTAAATTTGGTACCACTTGACATCCTTATATAAAAATTCTGCATTAGTTTGTATCCATTATGTTTCCTTCAATTTACTATACTCTAAATAATCTCCCAGATATAAGAAAAACATATCATAATGCACAACTCAGATTAAAAGTCTAGCGCGGCAGAGAACACTTCAATATTGCAGAACTTAGATTAAATCAAACCAGTATGCACAAGCGCAACTTTATAAATGCTTCTGTTACTATGTGCAAGCTTGTGAACTTAAATAAGGTTTGATACATAGTGTTTATCAGATGCTTGAATAAGTCCATCTCATCCTCCTCATGATTATCACCAAGCTACACTATCACCTAGATATGCTTGAATAAAATCCATCTCATTTATAATGCTTAACATAGGGTTTGAAATACTTTGGTATTATTATACTCTCATGCAATTCAATTCATTATTATATTCTTAGATGTTTAAATTTAAATTCACATAAGGTTTGATAATATAATCTTAGTATTAGTTTATTTATTGTACTTCTCTCATGCAACTTTTTTTCTTTCTTATCTTTAGTTTACTTTTATTTATACAGACGATATTGAGAGACAAGAGAATCAAATCTCAGGGTAAATTTTCTCAATCTGAAGTTACAAGCCCTAATTAACACCAAGGAAGAAAATATCGGTAATATCGGAAATATCGGTAGTCCGAAAACACGGAAATATCGATGGAAATATCGGGATAATATCGATATCGATAAAAATTACATGGAAACCACGGAAATTGTAAGAAAAACTTGGAAATTTTTAATGAAACTTTGTAGGATGTTTATTTAGTCAATTATCTATTAGTTTATCACAAAAAATTGGAAGGAAATGCATTGCATGATGGATTTAACTGATTTAAGTTGATTATATAGCGAGCTGGCAAACATTGTGAGTGTAGAAAATATGTAATAATTAATGAAAGAAGTTTAAACACACCATAATCATTTATATATAATTAATTAGTACAATATTTGGAGGTTTTATTTAGGATATTAAAAAAAAAAAAAAGGAAAGTGAATAAAATGATGAAGAATAATGTGCCGAATTTGACACTTTAAATTTCTTACACATAAGCATGCGTCTAGGCGTTGAAGTTCCAAATTATAGTATATCAATTAACGATTGAAAATCAATACATTGAATAAGACTAAACTTTAATTTGGATGCCGATTATGTTTTTTTCAAGTTTATATAAAATAAAAGAATTGAATTTTGGAAGCCAGGAGTGTGTCAATTGAATTTTGGCCGGCGTGCAAGGTATCAATCTCTTCGTCTCGTCGAGTAGTACAACTTTCCTTTTTGTTTCACTCAATTTCGTTAAGTATTGAAAAAGTTATACTCATTTGAATCTTACCAGTTTCCGGCGACCTCAGTGGCTTTAGAGGCAATTTCCGGCCAAACCACAACGAGTCAGACGTCGTGTGAGGTACCATTCTCTTCGTCTCTTCGAGGGCTACAACTTTCCATTTTGTTTCACTCAATTTCGTTGCTTATTGAAAACGTTATACTCATTTGAATCTTACCCAGTTTCCGGCGACCTCAGTGGCTTTCGAGACAATTTCCGGCCAAACCACGGCGATTTGGCCGGCGTTTAAGGTATCAATCTCTTCGTCTCATCGAGTAGTACAACTTTCCTTTTTGTTTCACTCAATTTCGTTGAGTATTGAAAAAGTTATACTCATTTGAATCTTACCCAGTTTCCGGCGACCTCAGTGACTTTCGAGGAATTTTCCGGCCAAACCACGACGATTCAGACGTCGTGTGAGGTACCATTCTCTTCGTCTCTTCGAGGGATACAACTTTCGTTTTTGTCTTGCTTGATTTCGTTGAGGTTTGACAAAGTTATGGCTGTTTAAAGTGGGTGTAAATTTTCGACCGAAAATTCTGATTTTCTCTCCCATTGGGCGAGTCCCACATCGCCCATGTGAGGGCAGTGAGCAAGCAAATTTTCCTATAAAACCCACATCCTCCTGCTGAGAAAAACCAAGCTTGTTCGGCCTTTGGGCTATGATCAAGTGAAGTATGTGTTGAGTTTTCTCAACATATATAAGTATATTTTAGTATTATGTTGCGATATTATTGATAATATCGAAAATATCGCGATATTATCGATATTATCGATAATATCGTGATATTTTGATGAAAATTATTTGGATAGTTAAAAAAATTTCAGACCTCCAAAAAAACGATAATATCGGCGATATTTTGCCGATATTATCGATATTTTCTTCCTTGATTAACACCTTCGATTGACTTGAATGCATGGGATATTTAATATTTTAAATGGACTAGCTAGCTTGATATTGATTATGAAAAGATTATAATACTTCACTTCTTTAATGTATTTCTCCTCTTTTGGTAACAAACATCAAGGAGTGATATGACGCATTCGACAAATGGGTTGTGGATATTTGCATAATAAATGAAGCACAGCTCATATTGGCAAAGTCCCATATATCTTCCCACATGCATATATATTGTGAATGAGTATAAAACATTCATAAACTATACTTCCAGAAACTTCATCATGCACCGATTGCATATTTGCATTTGTAATTGAAAGGGTTTGTTCTCTCTCCACTCTACTGCTTCCACTTCCACAGTGATGATCGAAAAGCTAACAATCCAATCTAATGGAGGAAACAAATTAAAGAAGAAATATTGACCTCTATATGTAAAGTAGAGACTGTATATACATTGTGCTAGACAAATCCGACAAAGGATCGACCTCCTGAAAAGTCATACCCACCAAACTCCTCAATGATTTGCTAACACGCATTAAAAATATGAAAATTTTCAAAAGGAGACATAGAACATGATCTGCAAATCTATTACTTCTCACCAATTGACCTTTTATAGTACATATCTATGACATATTTTATGCTAAGTCACAAAAAACCCTCTCCTACGTGCAACTAGAACTAGTACATATATATAATATTCATTACTCCCAGCATACAGTGCAACTCCTGTTTGCTTATCAATTCAATTTTTCAATATCTGAAACTCCAATTAAGCATGTTTCTGAAGAAAAAAAAAAACCCTGAGTGTAGATATATAAACTTAAAAATGCAAAAGATGACAACATAAACTCATCTGTGATATCACAAGACAACAGAGGCAGAGCGAAAGAGCATACACCCAGTTGTTGATACTTGTACATAAGTTGTTCCGCCTGCTAAGAAACACAGTAACAATTAATCTTTCGATGGAGTGCGAATAATGTGCTTCCCTAATAATACTCATTAATATAGTAATTGGTTATATGAAGAATTAAGTTAAGCGAGCATACCCACTTTTGATAAGCGTGTAGCAAATCACAGCTATTACTCTTAATTTGAATTAATTTGTCCTTTATCAAGTTTATTATTAGCCAAAACAATTAATAATGCTTATTAATATAGCTAGGGCAAAGACAATTATTTGGATGTATGATAGAGAGAATTAATTAATTAATTAATCAATGAAGATTTTGATAGGAAATCAAAAAACCAAACAGCTTTTTACTGACTTATTAGCTTGCACTGGGAGGAGCAGGGGGCAGTATTGCTTGAACTGGAAGAACAGTACTAGCAGTACTATTAGTACTACTGGTGCTACTCTCTGGTGGGCGCTTCCGCTTCTTCTTTTCGTAGCTAATTCCTCTGGCTTTGGCCTGAGAATCTCGAACCTCACGCAGATAAAGCCTCACAGCCCGAGCCCCAAAAGGGTTTGCCTCAGGCTTCCCGCCGTGCTCTTCAAAGGCGGCTCTGAGGCGGCCGATGAGGGCGTCGAGGCTTCCCCAAGCTTGCCGCAGAGGGCAGGGGCACGGTGCAGGAGGGTTAGGGTTCCCGAAGAAGGGACACAGCTGGATGTGCACCTTGGTCTTCCCAAACTGGTCCAGGTACCTGAGGAACTCAAGCACGTGGGCCCCACTGCACCGCGAGAGGGACAGTGGCGGCCTGTGGTTACGGAGGTATTGCCCAAAGGTGTTCCAGTCTCGCCGCTTTTGGTTCTCATAGCGGCTGAGGGTGGCGCATGATGACGATGAGGAGGAGGATGAGTTGGTAGCGATGGTAGTGTTGATGTTGATGTTAATGCTTGAAGTATTTGATGGGTTGGAAGGGTCAAATTCTTGAAGTGAATCCATGGATGGGTAACTAGAAGAAATCAAAGAACATGTAGATCACTTAGCTAGCTAGATGCTCAATTGAGCTGCGGTTTCAATCATATGGTTGAGGAATGAGGATGAGGATTTTATATAGATAGATCAGGTGAGAAAAGAGGAGCAGGGTTAACTAGCTAGCTATAGCTATGTATTAGATATAACCTGTTTCTTTTTTCTTTCTGCTATATATACCACTCTTCCGAGGTTTCTTTTGAATAGTTGTTTGATCAATACTAGAAACCCTTTGAAAGAGATTATGATGTGGGGTGGCTTTTGTTCATTACTTTGTTTTATGGGAACATTTTGAGAGATTGCTAGAAATTTTTTCCGGAGAAAGGGGGAGCAGTTCAGTTCCTTCCAGGCCTACAAACTCAGAGAGAGAGAGAGAGAGAGAGAGAGAGAGATTGAGTGGTAAATGGGTAATAAGTGGGAATGAAGTCTCTCCTCAACTTGTAGGGTTTCTGTTGAAATGAAAAGAGGTTGACAGTGAGAGAGAGGGAGAGATGGGATGGAGACATGATAAAAGGTCATGGGGTTAAAAAATATGAGGGAATCACATGATTTTGTTTCTTTACTCTTTTGTATATTGATTGATATCACTTTTTTTTGAATTACCACTTTGCCCTCCATTCATTTCTCATTCATATTTTGTTTTGTTAGGATCAACGTCGTTTGTTATTCTATTTCTCTGATTTATAATTAAGCGATAGTTTTAAGTTTAATTCTAATGAATGTGGTTCTAAACAAAATTATTGTTGGACATTGTGTGATTTTAGTCCAACCCAACCCCAATATATATCATGTATATATGTTTATTTTTTGGAGAGAAATACGATATTTGATATTCATTGCAAACAAAGCAATACAAGGACAAATTGACAACAAACTAAGGATAGTGTGCATATTGGGCCTCGATAAAACCTTGCCGGAGAACCCGGTCCAAGGAAAAAGAGTGTCCCACACGACGAAAGGAACTATCCCCAAATGTCAATACAGAAACAAATTACAAGAAATCCCTAAGCAAATCAGGGGAATCTTCCACCCACCAAACATGTAGTGTATAACCATTGCTGTTCTGTGAGCGTCAACCGTGCGACAAAGCATGCGACCATGGCTTCCATAGTCCTTTCCACATGCTGCAAAGTCAACCTGAACCACCAGCTGAAAATGTCACCAACAAATTGGAGGTAACTCGACGCCAAACGCCGCGTACAATCTTCAGATAAGCGCTCTCCTAGAGAACCTAAGGAGACTTAGGAACCCTAGAGAGCAATTTTCCTAGGAATACCAAGACTAAACAATGAAAACTAAACTAAACTAAATTTGCAAAAACTCGCCCGAAGCGAAACAAAGGGAAAGAAACCAAGAAGGGAACCACAATTCGGCACACCCGGCCAGTGGGATGCCAACATCCACACACCAAAACCAAGCCGCACTAGCCGAAGGGGGCCACAACCAGATCTGGAAACCACAGACAGTGGGCCTCCAACCAGGTTGACTCAGGTTGTGCGCGGATGAACCCCCGAAAACTTGCTAGCAAAATCGAAGCGGATCTCTTGGCACCAAGAGGGAAAGGTAGAGATGGCACCTACTACTAACAACCCAAAACCAAACACTAACACTGATTCGGACCCAAAATAAAGAGACATAAGAGGGCAAGGTATGGATCTGAAGGTTGGGCATAAGGGAGAACACGGGATGGGAGGAAGGTGGAGGGCTAAAACAGGATGGATAGGACAGAAAGAGAGGAAGGCTAGGAGAAGAAAGAGATGAGGGACAGGTTGCCCACTAGCCCCTAACCTTAGCTAGAGGTTGGCGGGGGAGGGTAGGATTTTTGAGGGGAGGGAGTTGAGAGATAGAGAATTCAGTGGTTATTCTTTTGTTGGTTATGTATATATGTTTAGTCTATAAGTATATAATTAATTTGCTAATTACAACATGATTGTCTAAATAAGGAATTGGATCCCATCCGGATCTACTTTGTAGGGGGATCCCGATATCTTAGCCATTCATCGTGTATCATGTGGTTATAAATCATTTGACTTTTTTTCTTTAAAATTAAACACAAATAGCATTTGACGAAAACTGGTTGTACGATGTATGATAAATGATTAGGATATGGGGATCCCTAGGATCCCTCACAAAGTGAATCCGGAAAGGATCCCTTTCCTCTAAATAGAGCCGCTTTTTAGTTGGGAAGTTAATTGAACAATTTGTAGTACAATTTCAATAGGAGATTTATATACTCCAGTTAATGAGTTGGTTGAGGGGATCACGAAATGATTTGGATTATTTCAAGATTTAATCAATATCTATGTGTAGTTTGGGTATGGGTGTGTCCGTTATTCATGGAGTTATATAATCGACTTGGAATTTATGCATGAGAGACAATCTCCCTACTATTTAACGTGTGTTGGTCAGTTGTTAAATTCGAAACCTAATCCATCAACTTATATAGAGCCAAAGCCAATGACAAATTAAAATGCATTCTGATTTCTAATATCAAATTGATAACATTAACACTAAACTCCTAAAGTTATATACAAATGTTGCGGCCATGCCTGCAAGCTTAATTAGGAATGGGACCCACATGTCATTTTTATTATCTATTTGTACTATTATTTATATTATTTATCTAATATAGATGGAACCCACATATATTTATAGGTCGTACTTCTATTAAAGACATAGCACAAATAGATAGCAAATGTAATACTGCTCTAATATTCAGCATTCATCAGTTACTTACAATTCTATCATATATGTAACGGCTTTCTGAGGATCGTCAAATGTGCTCTCTCAAGATCAAAGAATGAACGTTGGAATTCTTTAAGATCATAGCCATGTTTATGCGGTTAATTTTCCTATTTGTTTGTGATGATTTGTCAGGTCATCTTTCACATCAAGATCCATTAGTTTGAAAGAGAAAATAGCAATTAATGTAGGAACCAGATGAACAGAGATAGTCAAGCACGTACAAGTCATTCTCAAATGAAAAAGAGCTACCACTTACGGTGATTGGGAGGATGAAGGTAATACTTTTCGTTGCAATAATTAGACGTCTCTAAATTTGAGTCTAATGGGAGTATTTGGTATCTGAATTAAAATGATTGGTTTTTGAATATATTATAATATTTTTTAGAGCAATGGTTCTTTGGAATAACTTCATTAGAACTTTCGTTTTTTTTTTTTTTTGGCTCCTTTTAATGCTTTATTTTAGATGGAATTTCAATCAATATTAGTCACAAAGACTACTAGTCTACATTGTAACAAGTTTAGAAATCAATACTCATTGATTTTTAGTTTAAAGGGCTAAAATCCAAGGAATCCGGATCCTCTTTGTGAGGATCCCAGAGATCTGTGAATCATGTCCGTTCATCGTATATCATTCGGTCAGTTTTCGTCAGATATTGTTTGTGTTCAATTTTAAATAATAAAATTTAAAATGATTTCTGATAGCATGATGTATGATAAACAGACACGATACACGGATATCAGAGATTCTCACAAAGAGGGTCCAAAGAGGATCCTTATTCAAATCCAAGGACCATTGCTCTAATTTTTTTTTTAATTGTTAGGTCATTTCTAATCCAAGGTTATATTCTTAAACCTACATTGTCATGCATTTAAGTCTAAAAAGGAGGATGAACTTTAGTTTTAAAGTTTTTTATTCTCAAACACAAAGACTCATCTTAAAATCATTTGAAGTTTTAGGATTTGAGTCTTTATTATGGAAAAGAAACATAAGAGTGAAAACTCATATTTGAGTTGAACAATTTGGACACGTGTAATAAAGATGGTTTGAGTCCAAACTCAATCTTATTTTCTTGATTGAATATTTTTTTTTTCTTATTAAAGCGGAATGCACTCAAATTGTATATTGAAACTCGACTTTAAGTGCCACATTGACTAAAAACTTATATATATGATTTTAAAATCTATGGCGCATTAACATTTTATTTACGGGAAAATTAAGTTCACATCCTTCTTTTTGTTATTCTATTGATTAAAATCCTATTCATTTTCAATTTTTGATCAAGGTCATTGGGTATTAATAACATCATTAATTATTTGAATAATAAAATATTTTTATTTTTAAATATATTCATTTAGTGTTAAAAATGTTACAATTAGTATATTTATATTTATGGTTAAATTTTTTATCATATATTTTTATTTTTAGTTTGTACATATTTTTAATTTGCAAATATTTTTTATTTTGTACCAATTTTCTTTTCATTTTTAATTTGTACCCATATATTACTTTCTTTTTGTGCCCAATTTTTTAAGTTTTATTTTTGTTTGTACCCATGTGTATACCGTCACGTGACATTGTATATTTAATCAATGATAGAAAAATTACATATGGTATATTTATGTTTTATGCCTAAACTTTGTATCATATATTTATATTTTTAGTTTGTACCCACTTTTAATTTGCAAATTTTTTTTTAAAATTTGCAGTATTTTCTTTTTAGTTTTATTTTGTACCCATGTATTAATTTCTTTTAGCACCTATATTTTTAAAAAATTCATTTGTACTCATAATTTTTAATCTTTTATATGTACCCTAAAAATTCATTTGTAGTATTTTCTTTTTAGTTTTATACTGTACCAATTCTTCTTTATTAATGTACCACTTTGTTATATGTGAAATGTACCTATTTTTTTTGTAAAATGTACCAATTTTTTTAACACTATGGATACATTCTTTTACCATTTATTATTTCTTATTTTTACATAGTTTTTATCCATTTATTAAATCAAAATGTTTGAATTTTTTTATTGTAACCGTTTCTAATAGTATTGTAATGAGGGATTTTAAATTTATAGGATTTTAAATCTCATAAAATATCAAAAAATTAATGTCAAAACTATAAAAATATAAATATTAATAGTAATATAATGAGGTGTACAAAGTCAAGGGACTTTGATCAAACTTTGAATATTATTAAAGTTTTAATTAAAGAATGTTAAGGATTAAAGATCGCATCCAAAATATCCCTTTTATTTACCTTTGTGGGCATATATAGCGACTTAACCTACCTATGTAAATTGAAAACAGAGCACCCTCCCATCACACCGCTTGCAAGCTGCGATCACATAGTATAGTCAGCAACTTTATTCAACGATGCACTCATATTATTGAATAAATCTTGTGAATTCTGACAACATTGACTCCCCCCACACACTTCAAATTGGGGACAACCTACAAATAACTTCCCACTACCATCTCTTATTTCAGTTAACTCGGAGTCCACAAGGTTTCCTTAGTTCCAAATCCCTGGAACTATTATTTTTGGAGATATGTTGACACTCAAGTTCACTTCAATAAGTATTGACAATACCATCGACACCGGTTACACATAATAAGGTGAATAAAAGACTCCGTCCCGTCTTTACTTATTTTTAGTTATGCAACTAATGTTAGTGATTATTCTTAGTATTATTTTATTTTA